TACTGCAGCTTTATTTACATTTTCATTCACATGAAATCCCTGTTTCCGTCCCTTTACTTTTTNAAGTCTATTTTGTCTGATATAACTATTGCTACTGCAGCTTTATTTACATTTTCATTCACATGAAATCCCTGTTTCCGTCCCTTTACTTTTTGTCTGTATGTGTCTTTCGAACTGAAGTGGGTCTCCTATAGGCAGCATACACTGAGGTCTTGTTTTTAAATCCAGCCAATCACTCTGTCTTTTGATTGGAATATTTAGACCATTTACATTTAAAGTAATTATTGATAGGTATGTACTTATTGCCATTTTATTAATTGTTTTCTGGTTGCTTTTGTAGTTCTTTTCTGTTACTTTCTTCTTCTTTTGCTCTCTTTCCTGGTACTTGATGACTTTGTTAGTGTTTTGTTTGGGTTCTTTTTCTTTATTTTTAACTGGATCTGTAATAAGTTTTAAGTTTTTGGTTGCCATAATATTCATATATAACAAGCTATGTTTATAGCAGTGCATTTTAAGTGGATTGTTGTTTCAGTTCAAATGCTTTCTAAAGCTACTACATTTTTTACTCACCCCCACATCTGTGTTTTTGACATCCTGTTTGACTTCTTTTGCGTGTGTCCATTAATTTATTACTGTAGTTACACACGCTTTTACTACTCTTGTGTTTTAATCCTCCTACTAGCTTTATAATGGGTTGATCCACTATATTTACAAATGTTTGCTTTTATCAGTGAAAATTTTCTCTTTCCAATATTTTCTTAGTTTTACTTTTGGTCTTTTCCATTAAAAGGAGTTCCTTTAACATTTCTTTTAAAGCTTGTTTAATGGTGATGAAATCTTTTAGCTTTTGCTTGTCTGGGAAACTTGTTATCTCACCTTTAATTCTGAATGCTAACTTTTCTGAGTAATCTTGGTTGTAGATATTCATCACTTTGACTATTTGGTGCCATTCCCTTCTGACCTGAAAAGTATCTAGTGAAAAAATCAGCTGATGGCCTTATGAAGGATCCCTTGTACATAACTAAATGCTTTTTCTCCTGTTGTCATTATGGNAATCAGCTGATGGCCTTATGAAGGATCCCTTGTACATAACTAAATGCTTTTTCTCCTGCTGTCATTATGACTCTTTAACTTTTGGCATTTTAAATATGATGTGTCTTGGTGTGGGGCTCTTTGGGCTCATCTTGTTGGGAACTCTCTGTGTTTCCTGGATTTGGATGTCTGTTTTCTTCACCAGCTTGGGGGAAGTGTTCAGCTGTTATTTCTTTGGTTAGGTTTTATATTCCTTTCTCTCTCTCCTCCTCCTTCTGGGACCCCTATGATTCAAATGTTGGTATACCTGATGTTGCCCCCGAGGTCCCTTAAACTATCTTCATTANGGGGGAAGTGTTCAGCTGTTATTTCTTTGGTTAGGTTTTATATTCCTTTCTCTCTCTCTTCCTCCTGGGACCCCTATGATTCAAATGTTGGTATACCTGATGTTGCCCCCAAGGTCCCTTAAACTATCTTCATTTAAAAAAAATTTTTGACCGGCCAGGGATGGCACAGTNAAAAAAATTTTTGACCGGCCAGGCATGGCACAGCATTGGAGCATCGACCTAGGATCCAGGAGACATTCCCAGTCAGGACACATGCCCGGGTTGCAGGCTTGATCCCCAGTGGGGGGCAAGCAGGAGGCATCCAATCAATGACTTTCTCATCATTGATGTTTCTATCTTTCTGTCCGTCTGGATGAAATAAAAATATATATATTTGAACTAAATAAATAAAATAAATAAAATTATTTTTTCTTTTTCCTGTTCTGACTTTCACTGCCCTGTCTTTCAGGTTGCTGACTCATTTTTCTGCATCAAATGGTCTGCTGTTGATGTCCTCTAGGGCATTTTTGTTTTCATGTATTGCATTTTTCAGTTCTGATTGGTTGCTCTAAGCATTTGTTGAAGTTCTGACTGAGTTCATCTATTTCTCTCCCTAGTTCATTGAGCATACTTTTAACTCGTGTTTACCTTTAACTCTTTGTCTTGTAATTTGCTTCTCTCTTGTTTCTTTTAGTTCTTTTTTCTTTTTCTTGTTCCTTTATTTAGAGTACATTTCTCTGACTCCTCATTGTGGCTGTCTCTCTGTGTTTGTTTCTATGAATTAGGTGAAACAGCAACGTCTCCCAGTGTTGAAGGAGTAGAGCTGTTTAGGAGCTTTTCCTTTGTAGACCGTGTGTTCCAAAGGTGTCTTTAGCAGGCCAGCTGGAGCTGCAGTGGGAGTGGGACACAGGGAAACCTGCAGGTAAGGGACCCTGAGCTGGAGCTGGAGCGGGAGTGGGCTGTGGGGAGTCCTGGGGACGAGCCACAGAGCTGGTGTGGGCCTGGGGCCTGACAACCAAGGATGGCTGGCTAAAGCACCTGAACTGTGTCCTGCCCATGAGATCAAGGGAGGGCAAGTGCCAATGAATGACTGGTGCCTCTGACACCAGAGTTCCTGTAGTTCCTCTCCCAGTTGGCAGACACTCTAGGGTTAGCAAATGGATTGCCTTCCCATTTAGTCTCAGTACCTTTAGGCCACTGGTTTCTCCCTTTACCCCAGAGGGGGTGAGTCTGCACATATGCCCTTCGGTGATCCCTCCAGCTCCAGGTCAGTGCGCTGGGGGTGGGGTTCCCAGGCTGCCATGTGCCTGTCTCTCCTACCTGTTCCTATGTGGCTTCTCTCCTGTTTGTGTTGGTCCCTTGGCCCTCATTTCTTCTTCAAGGGGAACTGCTCTGTCTGCAGGTGTAAAGTTCATGTGACACGGGAGGAGGTGAGGTCAGGGTTGTCCTACACTGTTGTCCTGGACTGGAAACCCTCGACTCATTTACATTTTCAGCTTGTTTCCCATCATGTACTTCTTGTCAGTTTGTTTCTATTGTCTTTTAAAACTTTTGATTCAAATTTTTATTACATAAAATACTTGAACGCTACTCAAGTTAAAACTATTAAATAAGATATATATTCAGAAAAGTGAAGATTCCTTCAACCTGTTCCCTTATTTTGCTTCACAGACAACCATTCAAAAATATCCTTCCATTGTTTCTATTTACAAATGGAAGTAGATAGATGGTAGATAAATATAGATGGCAGGTAAACAAAAGGGAGATAAAATGAATGGATTCGACTATATATTCCTGCCCTCCTCTTTCTTATTAAAAAGAATGTTGTGCACAACCTCTCCTGTTCCAGGCCCCAACACATTTTGGAGGTTACCTCACAGAGTCTTCTCACCTTTCTTCCATTGCGGAGTTTTTTGCTGTTAGGTTGCACGTCAGTGGATTCACACACTCCCCCTTGTTTCTGAGCACTGTCCCTCATTTATGCTGAAACACGATCCACACAGGGTTTTCCTGTGACAGTGAGTTTGTCACACAACCTGGAGGGCCTCAGAAGTGCATCTTTTCCACTAGAGTTGAGGCTTTGTCCTGAGGGCCTCTGAGGCCTATTTATGGGGAAGGGTGCATCTCAGGGCAAAGAGTCAGCACAGTGCTGATTTTTATCTGAGAGACAGAAAAGACTCAAGTGTGGAAGCCCACCATGAGTCTAATAAAAGGGGACTTCAAGAGATACCGGGGCTTAGGTACCTTCTTTTAAAAAATCAGAGACAAAAAGACAAAAGAACATGATTCTAGAAACTGTGAAGGCATCACATCCTTACAGGTGAGCTGCATTTCTTAGACATGTCCCCTTTCTGTCCCCATGGGGCAAGGAACCTGTGTGTCTGTCTTTGAGAAACACAGACGTAGGAGAGCCCGGGCATGGTTCCTTGCAGGCTTTCTCCTGCCTCAGGAAGCCAGGCCTGGTTACAGAATGGAAACCCCATGAAAACGCACCGAGGGAACAGGGAGCCTTCCAGATCCCCACGTGACCAGCATTCAGGAAAAGAAATGAAAGTTACTGTTGTGTTGAGACGAGATCCCCTTTGTCTTTTCTCTCTACTTCCTGTCATGAGGCGTGCGGAGCACATGGTCTTCACTCCGTATTTAATGGAGGGAAATTTTATACAGAAACGTGGGAGAGGTGAGCTCAGGGGCCCAGCGCACAGCGAGGGCCGAGTACAAAGGGAGCGGGCGGGTGGAGATGAGGTTCCCCGTCCATCCTGGGGGCTCCGGGTCGGGGGGCTGAGGAAGCCAGCGGGGAGCACGTTTCCCGCAGGGTCTTGAAGCAGGACCAAAGGGCAGCCAGGAGGCACTAAAGAGCCGAGCAGGAAAGCTTTTCATGCTGCGAAGAGGCCAGGACAGAAGGCTCTTTCCCCCTCAATTGTCACCATCGTCACCTCAGCTCAGGAGGCCTGCGGACAGAGGGCAGTGTTGTTTCCAGACCCTGCCAACCAGCGGCGCTGTCCCCTCCCGGGCCTCCTGTTTCAGCTCCGCAGGAAGAAGTTCTGCGTCACCCCCAAAGCTCCTTCAGGGCCTGTTACCAAGTGGGGAGCAGGAGCTTCGGTGTAAACGGCCCGGCCAGAGGTCAGACCCAGTGTCTCCCAGGGTTTCTGTCTCCTGTCCGTCACCCCCACATCCTGCTCTGGGGAAAGCGAGTGTGTCTCTGAAAGGGGACTGAGGAGCATTACCTGCTGGCTGAAGTCCAGAGTGTCCTGGGAAAGAGAAGGAAGGTAAACACTTCAAGATAGGAAGGCAAATCTGTCCCCAAAACAAGGTCCCCGCCCAGACCCCATGACATTTCTCGATTGCCACACCCGCCTCACATGACACCAGGGGAGAGAGGAGAGCAGGAACGGAGAGCAGTGGCCCCCCGACCTCTGTCACTCGTCCGGTGTAATCTTATGCACCGTCGGGTCTGCTCCTGCATCTCCCAGGATCTGGACCCAAAGCTCCGGGCGTGTTAACCCTTCTGCCACCTCCACCGGCCATAATTCCTTATGTTTCAACCATAAGTAACCATGGACCGTTTATTTCTGGATTTCCAGGAGATTTGAGCTCGGCCAGGGAAAGGCTTTATACGGGCCATGGATACACAGAGGACTAACCTGAGCAAAGTCCTAATTTCCCCGCATAAAGTCTGCGGGGAACCCCAGTGGCTTCCTTACCTTTCTGATTCCTGAAGTAGACGAACAGCCCTGCCCCGAGGAAGAGCAGACCCAGCACGAAGCCCCCGACTCCACTCAGCATCTTGCTCTGTGCAGATCCAGACTGTGCCCCTGGGAGAAGAAGCCAGTTTTAGTGGGTTTTATCCCAAAGCCAACTTCCCTGAGGCTGGGACTGACAGCTTTGAGGGAGAGAGAAGGGATCCAGAGGAACCAGCACAGTCGGCCCTTTCTGGAGAAGAGACTTGGGTCCCACTGGGTGGGTACGCGGTGCAGGCACTGGCCCCTGCAGCCTCCCAGCCCTGGCACGAGGCCACCGCTTCAGCATCTGATGGATGCGGAGCCTGGGGCTCAGTGAGGTTCAGGACTGGTGCAGGGTGACAGAGCTCCCAGATGGCAGAGCGGACACTGGACTCTCCTGTGTCAGGAAGGTCCCTACGTTGTAGAGGACGAGCCTCTTCTCAGATCACAGTGGACAACTCAGAGCAACAGGCAGAAGTTCCAGCCCAGCTGACGCAGGGGACTGGTGCCCAGGGCCAAGGGGACCAAGACCTGAGATATTGTGGGAATGTCAAAGCAGGAATAGGAATGACGGCCTCCCAGGCTCTAGGTATCCACAGAAGTGATCACAGGCCCACCCCGGTGGCCTGTGCTGGAGAGACACAGCAAAGGATAGTGGGGTTGGGGAGGGGAGAGCCCTGCCCCCCGGGATAAGCAGAGTCCCCTGTGGCGGGTGAGGCGGGCGAGTCCGAGCACATCTCACTCCATTCCGCGGTGAGAGGGCTCGTCCGGCTTGGGTGCTGCACTTGGCAGGTGTAGACCTCTCCGCTCTGGGGAACTGTCTCCAGCATCACCAGGATCTGGAAGGTCCAGTCTCCATTCCGGATCAGGCCTGTGGACACGACCCCCGCCTCCTGCTCCTGGCCGTCCCGCAGCCAGCGGACGTCAATGTGGCCTGGATAGAAGCCGTTCACAGAGCAGACCAGGAGGTTGTGGTGCTGCAGGCGCCGGGTCTTGGCGGGATACACGGTCACTGTAGGCGCAGCTAGGACAGAAAGGGGGGAGGGGCCATGTGAGGAAGGCAGGGAAGGCTCCTTGGCTGGCTCCCTTTCGGCCTCCAGGCTCCAGTCCCAGGCTCCAGGCTCGGGCAGGCCTCCCTCAGAGCCGGCCCTGCGGCCCAGCAGGAGTTGCTGCCATGAGCCCTGAATCTGACCCTCCAGCGTGCGCCCACTCGATTTGAGATGCAGAGGAAACTTGTGGGACCTTTTAATATGTTGAAACAGTTATTCACTGTTGAATTGGAGTGTTTAGAGATCTTTGCAAGGCATGTAGTTTATTGGTTAAAAGTGTGATTTCTGGAACAGGGACTGTCTGGGTTCAAATCCAGGCTCTGCCTCTTACTGGGTGACCTGGGAGAATTTTACATTCCTCTCTGCTCAACTTTCTCACCTGCAAAGGAGATAATAATACTCACTTGCCTGTTAGGGTTACATGAGGATCGGTGGACCTAAAATATGTAAAACCAGGGCTGGATCTTAGGCGTTACTATGTGTTAGCTATTTACTATCCTCCTCCACTTGGAGAGAAAATGTCATTCAAAGCAGTGTGGGTACACTGGGGGACAGCTTGGGGAAGATGGGGACACAGGGCGTGAAATCGGGGATGCGGCTCTCGCACCTGAGACCACCACAGAAGTGGTTCTACCTGGGAAGCGGGAAGGACACGGGGGATTCTCTAACTCGGGGAGCCGAGTCCCAGAGGAGCACGAGTCCTGCAGGAGAGGGAAGGACCAAGGAAAGTCACTCGTTAAAGGCACTTAGTTACACTGGCTGAGCAACCCCTCTCGTCAAAAATCTAGTGCTGGAATTGTTGTCGTTTCATAACCATCTCTCTTC